CAAAAATTGTCAATAAAATACAAATCAAATGCAAGCACACATCAAAAAGATTATCAACCATGATCAAGTTGGCTTCATCCTGGAGATACAGAGATGGTTCAGCATATGTAAATAATAATTATTTACATAAACATTAAAATATAAACAGTCTCAAGGACAGAAACCACACAATCATGTCACTAGATGCAGAAAAGGCCTTTGACGAAATCCAACATTGATTCATGATAAGTTACGGAGAACTTACAGATACAAGGAACATATATCAACATAATAAAGGCAATATACAACAAACCCACAGCCAACATCATACTAAATGGATAAAAGCTGAAAGCATCCCTGTTAAAATCAGGAACAAGATAAGGATCTCTACTCTCTCCATTCCTGTTCCATAAAGTACTTAAAGTCTTAGCTAGAGCAATAAGACAAACAAATAAAGGGGATACAGATTGGAAAGGGAGAAGTCAAAGTACCCTTACTTGCAGATGATGTGATTCTATACATAAAAGACCTTAAAGACTCCACCAGAAAACTCCCAGAGCTGATCATTCAGCAAAGTAGCAGGATATAAAATTAACATCCCCCCAAATCAAAAGACTTCCTGTATACCAACAACAAACATATCAAGAAGGAAATCAGGGAAATTATTCTATTCACATTAGCCTCAAAAAAACCCCATAAAATATCTTGGAATAAATCTAGCCAAGGAAGTGAAGGACTTGTATAATATAAACATCAAGACATTGAAGAAAGAAATTAAAGAAGATACCAGAAAATAGAAAGACCTCCCATGCTTAGGAATCAGTAAGATTAATATGTAAAAATGGCAATCCTGCTAAAAGCAGTCTATGGATTCAATACAATCTTCATTAAAATTCCAACACAATTCTTCACAGAAATTGAAAAAATAACCTCGTTTCCTATGGAAACACAAAAAGCCCAGGATAGTCAAAACAATCCTGAACAATAAAAGAACTTCTGGAGGCCTTACCATCCCTGATCTCAAGTTATACTACAGAGCTATAGTAATAAAAACAGCATGGAACTGGCATAGGAGCATACACATAAATCAGAGGAATAAACTTTAGGGCCCACATTTAAGTCACGCACTTACAGCTAAATACTTTTTTTTTTTTTACAAAGGAGTCGAAATACTGGAGAAAAGACAGCATGTTTAATAAATGGTGCTGATCAAACTAGAGAGCAGTGTGTAAGAATGAAAACAGATTCCTATCTCTCACAATACACAAACCTCAACTCCAAATGGATCACAGACCTCAACATAAAACCTGATACTCTGAATCCAATAGAGGAAAAATTAGGGAATACATTGAAAATTATAGGTTCAGGGAAGGACTTTCTGAACAGGATTCCTGTAGAGCAATTAAGTCTAATAATTGAATATTATTCAGCTCTTAAAAAAAGAACTTATTAGCCGGGTGTGGTGGCGCACGCCTTTAATCCCAGCACTCGGGAGGCAGAGGCAGGTGGATCTCTGTGAGTTCAAGGCCGGCCTGGTCTACATAGTGAGTTCCAGGACAGCTGGGGCTACAGGGAGACCCTGTCTCAAAAAGACAAAAAAAAAACCAAACAAACAAACAAAAAAAAGAACTTATTAAATTCGCAGGTAAATGGTAAATCTTAGATGTGTGTGTTTCCGTTTGAAAATCCAGAGAGGTCACGAAACTAATAAATGGCTATGGGGAGGGGTGGGGGGACTTCCTGGGAGAGGGGGTAGAATGCAGTGATATAAAGGGGGAAAGGGAAAAATAGAGTAGAAAGGGTTAGGTGGGGTGGGGAATTGGAGGGTAGGGCAGAGGAGGGAGTATGGGGAGGGATAATTGATACTAAAGGCCTTTAGAAAGAGCCACATGGAAACCTACTACCATAGAAGCATCTTAAAGTATGTGCATACACATTGTAAAAAGGGATGAAAATGATTTAACTTTTAACAGGGGGACATTGCCCCGACTAGACATCATAGGCTGAAAAAATAAAAGCCCAATTCCAGGAATGGATTTTCTCTTTTGAAGCTGTTGACCAGGGGTCCTATAGACCTTCAAACAATACTGGTCATTGTCCCTGCTCTTGGTTACCCACCAGGACTTAACAGTAAGACCCCATTGCTGAAGACACTACAGAGAAATCAAGCTGGGGCTGATTTCAAAGCCTCAGCTCTACTGTCTAGTTTTATAGTATTGGAAGGTGCTATGCTAGCTACCTGAAGAGAAAATTTATCATAAACCTTACCCATCTGTGAAGTCTGTGTACAACAATAACTGGTTTGGCAAGATATGCCCACTGGTGCAATAGTGGCACAAACGTTATAGGAGTAACCAACTACTTTCTACTTGGATTTAGGGTCCACTTCCTAGGATGAAACCCATACCTGACATTGATATCAGGCCTAGGAATCTGAAGCTATACAGCCGACAGGCCATGGGAGAAAGCCTAATACTATTATTCTGCTAAATAGATATAGTATTAAACTGATTCCTAATGGTTGTTATAGATGAATACATCTCCCAACTCTCAACAGAGACACTTCCTTAATATAACAGATGGTGATTAACACAGATGGTGATTAACAACTAGCCAATGTGCAGGGAACAAGAGGCTGTAGAGTACTTATCCCTATGTCAAACTCTGCCTCTCAAGGCTCAGGGAACACTGTGGAACCATCTTCCAGAAAGATGGGCAGAAAGATTGTAAGAGCCAGAGGAAGTGGGTGACCACAAGGAAATAAACTTTTCAGACAGCTGGTTAAGTTACTCATATGGATTCACAGCAATGAGTGACAGCATGCACAAGTTCCACATAAGCTCAAGCCAGACAAAAATTCCAACCTACACATGGAGAAGAGGATAAGAAACATGAACCCTAGATGAGAAACTATTGGCAACTAATGGCTTCTGGGAAGAGGAGAGTCAGTCTTGTTTAAGAGTGAGACTCTTGGTGTGTTGTCCAGGCTCCAATGAAAGAACCCATACCAAAGGGCAATTGGGGGCACAAACCTGACTCTCAAGGCCTTTATTATAGTACAGGAAATTTGGTGGAGAGGGGCAGTAAGGGGTACAGATAGAAGAGAGCATCCAAATATGATAAAATATTGTTTGAAATTCACAAAATTCAATTTAAAAGGGGAACAATTAACAATTAAAAATGGCTGACAATCTATGCGTTTGTGAAGGAACTGGAACTTTTGTATGCTGTGATGGAAATGGAAGATGGTATACATGTGGAAACCATTTTGCAGTCTCTAGAGGGACTATAAGGGAAGCGTGAAAGAGTGTTGTGGGTGGTAGATTTGTTAACTATCTTGATGTGGTGACTAAACATATTTAACACACATGTCTAAACATCCAATGATACACTTTACATATATGCAGTTTACTATATATCAATGTCTCAGTAAAGCTATTGAAAATAGAAAGCTCTACTGTAAGAACGAACATCTAGACAGAGGATGGCTACATAGACATGCAGGATAAATGCACTGAGAGTAATCCCTGGGTTTTAAGTAAGGGGTTTAACATGGCTGTATTTTAATTGCTAACAATATATGATTAGGAGGTGAGTGAGATTGGCAGAGAATCAATTCCAAGGTATTTCTGGTAGAGACAATGATAACTTTACCTGATCATGGAAAATGCACAGGAGAGAAGCAGTGGCTTAAAAAAAAGACAGGTAGTGCCACTTGCACTGAGCAAAATACAGTGTGAATAAAGCAAAATATAGTGTGAATTATGCACTCTCTGGTTGAGAGTGCGTAATTCTCATTGTATTCAAATAGACAGCATGTTTCTGACACAAACAGCACTAAGCCATATTTACTCTGTGGTCCAGTGCTAAGTATTGTGTACAGATAGGGCTCTACTAGACACAAAGGGCTTACCTTTGTACTCCATTCTAAGGTGTTCAATTAGCACCAATATATTTTCATAATCAGGGTGAGGCAACTTGTCATACTCTGAGGCTGCTTCAGATGACTGAGTAAAGTCAAGGTCTTCCATAGTAGTTGTTTTTGATCTTTAAAACAAGTAGTACCAATTCAAAGTGTCATTTAATATTTTCACCACATAATATCAGTTCAGTTCAGGCAATTATGTGTCTTTTTTAAAGGTTTAGAAGCACAAACACTTCTGAAAACTGATTTTTGTCAAAAGGAACTTTACCCATAGCCAGTATTTCTTTATCACATTTTAAAAGTAAGTGACTTTACATAACAAAATATGCTATAATTTTCATCTTACCTTTTACAATGTACCTTAAACTTATGCCGTTATACTAATGCATAGTAACAGTACAAAATGAAGGGGTTCATCGGGACCTTCCCTGTGTGCGTGTGTTTTGATCATATTCACTCTCTGTATTTTTCCTTGTAACTCACTCGCCCTTTTACTCTTCCTCTTCCACATCTCTAGAACTTTCCCTTTATTTTTAAAGTGCATGACTTTGAATTTTTTTTCAATGAAATATTTTTGTTTATTTTTACAATATCTTCCACTTTTATTCTATTTGCCCTTGTGAGTCCTGAAAACCATGAAATCCTTTTTAGGCAAATACTAATTATGTAAAACACAGAAGAGTATCTATAACTGCTATCTCTTAACATAAATCATCACATTTGTCATTTATTTCTCCTGTTCATAAAGTTTGCAAGTATTAAAACCAATTTCATACAAGAGTGATTGAACTCAATGGAAAGAGTTACATTAAAGGACAGTGGCTAGTACTATTAATACTGTAACAATTGAATTTAGATAAAACTTTCAGTCATAAAGAGGAAAACAGTGTTACCTACATTATTAGAAATGTACTAGGCATTTTTTGTTATTACAATTTTCCATAAAATAAGCTTTATGGGCATAAACTCAATTTGGAAAACACTACTTAATGCCTTATATGAGGGAAACCCTTTTTAATTGATAGGGGTTAACTTTCTCAGAACCTGCTATGCACTGACAATGCACTATTCAAAGCATTGAACATGTGTTGAATTCATTTTAAACATCACAGTTCTGAGGTAGGTTACATATTAGGTATGTTATAAACAAATGAATCAGAAAAAGAAAGCCTAGTCTAGCGAGATGGCTTAGCAGGTAAAAGCACTCACTTGTTGCCAAGCTTGATGACCTGAGTCCCAGTCCTAGGACAGCACTGACCCCCACAAGTTGTTCTTTAACCACACATGAAGCAAGTGTGTACTACACACATCCAGACATCCATCCATCCATCCATCCACCCATCCATCCATCCATCCATGTAATAAGACACTTTTGAAAACAAAAACAAAAACCCAAGGTCACTTGCCCAAGGCCCAGAATTTCAACCCAGGGATTCCAGCTCCACAACGTATTTCACAACATGCTGTGAATATAGTATCTCCAAATATTTCTACATAAAATAATGGCAGATAAATCCATATTATTACTCCATTTCTGGTTACAACTGATATTTTCTAAATCTTGACTATCTCTCTCTTTCTCTCTCTACTATATGCATATGTATGTAGAGGCCAGAGGTAAACTGGTGACTTCATTTCTCTCTACCTTATTTATCTTTATGTGTATGTGAGAGTGCCTGCATGTATGTATGCACACTACATACCTACAAGGGTGCAAAGCCTGTGGAGGCCAGAAAAGGGCTTCTGATCCTTTGGAGCTGGAGTGTGAGCTATCATGTGGGTGCTTGCAACTGAACTGGGATCCTCTGCAAGAGCCCCAAGTGCTCTTAACTGCTGAGCCAATCTCTCTGGCCTCTTATTTTTTGACAGTCTCTAACTGAATCTAGAGTTCGGCATTTGGCTGACTTGGTGGTCTGTGAGTCCCTGGGATCCTTCTGTCTATGCCTTCCATTGCTGGCATTATGGGAGCACCACCAAGCCAGGCTTCTTAGATGGTGCTGAGGATCCAAATTCAGGTCCTTCTGTTTGCTAACACTTTATCGGCACTTTACCTACCGAACCATTTCCCCAGCATCCCTCCCCACCCCCACTGTTGCCAGAATCTTGTAAACATTTTAAAGATTAAAGAGACTTTATACTTTGGAAAATTTTGAAGCCCACTTTCCATAAATATTATTCAGAAGAAATTCTTGAACAGGAATAATTCATGTATGTAGGTTTTGTTATTTTTTATTTTTTTATCATTCACCAACAAACAAATATTCAGCATGCAATCTGAGTCAGTGAAACTGTTGGGATTTTGGATCACATATTCTGTGTTTGTATTTTACTTTTCCATTTTTCCATTACACATTAAATCTCCCCTTTCCCCAGAATCTGAAAAAAATGCTGAAGTCGATACCCCTGAACTTTAGAGTACCTTGCAAAATCACAGCTCCCTATCAAGGAACTTTTAGTTCATTTCAGTCCACTTTATAGTTTTTCCCAAAGACGGAATAGTGGCCAGGCTCTCCAGCCTCCTCACGGAGAACAGGAGCACCTGGTGGCCTCTTGACTTCTTCCCTCCCTGGGGGCTCAACGTCCCGCGGCCTCGAGCTTGCTGCCCTGTGATCGTTGCTGCACAGGCTTCTGGAATTTCAGGGAGCTGCCATGTGGTCCCGCTGGCTGCAGAGGCATCTGGTTGTCCCCCTGCAGCATGCGCTGTGCGCTTTTTCCTAGTTACTGCTTGCTGTGTCACAAAGGCTTAAATGGAGTGAATGTGTAAAATCCTGCCACGTTTTCTTGTTACTTTCTGAAGTTCTTTGAAGAAGCCACACTGTGTCAATGATCCTGCATATTTGCCTGACGGGAACTTAAGAACTTCACAATTGTGGAGAGAATGTTGCACATCTAGAGTCAAAATGGATGAACCCACACGAAAGGACATTTGGGGACATAAATTTGACTCAATAGGCCTTAATATACATGATATCTGGAGATGGAGGATATAGAAGGGGTGCAAGTAGGGGAAAGTCTCAATATAATCAAAATATATTGTATGAAATTTGCAAAAATTAATTAAAAATTCAATTTTAAAATCCCTTTTGGAACAAGATCTGGGTTTTTCATAGGTGTGCGTATATATTTGTCCTGCAGGTGTGCAGTGCCTATGCTATAGAATATGTGTATCTCTGTGGGATACACAGTGAATATTAATCAAAACTGATTTGCCAGTTGCCCCTACACTGATATTATGGAAGACCTTAATTCCAATCTGTGCTGCATGCAACAACATAACTTTCTTTCCATTGATATGCTAGTTTAGGGAAAATGTGCTCATGTAACCCTAGAGAAATTGACATGACCCTTTAAGCTATACCTATGCAAGAGATGGGAAAATTTGAAGTTCATAATTAGTTTTTAATTATCCAAGTCCTCACCATATTGCTATTTTGAAAAACCTGAAGTGGTTGTATCAACCCTTTACTCATAAAATTGTTTCTTTAATCTTTCCCCAAATGGATGAACGCATAATTGCCTGATGTAAAGCTAGTAGCTAAAGAATTTCTGGAAAATGGGGCACCCCATTCACACCCTGCTTGCCTTAGCCCAGGGAGATGTGTATTTGAGGGAAGCCGTGCTGTGCTGGCCAGTCCTGGTGTACCACCATCACAGTGACTCAGGCTCTGCCTTTGAGAGCTTCCTGGCTGTCAGTATGAAGCTATCACTACATGATACACACCTGACACATTTTTATCAAACAGGACAATCTGAATTATGATCTGGCCTTGGCCAGACAGAGGCACAGAAATTTTTAGAAATTGTTAAACGACAGTGAAAGACTGTTATAAAAATTCACTATTCAAGGATCAAAGGAGAGAAGAAAGCTGTGCTCTGAGTGGGACATTGCAGGGCTGGACAGACCCTGAAAAGGAACGGCCATGGCTCTTCTGGGGATGGACATGGCAATAAACAGCCAGATCTTTGTTGAAATTGCCATGGAAATCTATGCTGCACTTTTTTTTTCTTATTGATTAATACAATAAACATTAGAAAACTAGTATATAGAGAACTAAGCTAGGTATGTTGAAGAGAAATAAATGGATGATTAATGGGAAATCATGTATTTCTTAAATAAATTTTAAAAATAGAAAAGTTGAATAAACTGCACTCTGATAGTCGTTTCACGGAGAGGAATGATGCCATGGATCTATGATTTATTGTGTATTATGCTCAGCTTCCAGATGAGCCAACCAGGGCTCAGGCAGGTTTAAGGACCCAGAGGCAAGCTCACACCTAGGCGTAGAGCACATGCACTCAATCATAGAATTGTCTGCTGTTAAGGTGCAGCATCCAGCTTCTGTAAGACCCAAGAAACATGGGAGCTCCACAGAGCAGGACGTTCATTGGATATCAATGTTCTGAGTAATTGCAGAAACTAACATTGAATTGGAATGAATTTTTAGTTTATGACAGACTTCCATCATAGTTAGTTTCCGCTGTCATCCTGACACCAACCTGGAGTCACCTGGGAAAAGGGAACCTCAACTGAAGAATTTCCCGGACTGGCCTGTGGGTATGTCTGTGGGGACATTTTCTTGTTTGATGCTTGAGGTAGGAAGGCCAGCTGACTGTGGGCAGTGCCATCCCTAGGCAGGTGGGCCTGGGCTATATAAGAAAAGTGTCTGAGGAAGGAGCCAGTAAGCAGCTTTTCTCTGAGTCTCTGCTTCAGTTCCTGCCTCCGGGTTCTTACCTTGAGTTCCTGTTGTCCTCCTTCAAGTTGGTTTTGGTTAGTATTTTATCACAGCAACAGGGGGGAAAAAAACCTACAGCTTCTCATGCATACTGTTATATAAAAAATTTCAGCACATTTCCCAGGTAAATATTTACATCTTGGCGTGTTTGAATAACATTTCCAGGATAAAGTTGTAAATGATGAAGCTAGAAACTTTCTACCTGGACCTTTGAGGTTGTAATTATAAGAAACAAGATGGGGTTAGAATTTTCTTACTATAGTTAAAGATACAGATTTAGATGTACACTGGGGCCCTTGGAGCACTCTCATGATGCCCAGGGAGCAGCAGAATGGGAACCAGGCAAGTACTGCTGGGAGACAGAACACTCAGT